CGGGTGCAGCTGCGCTTTGAAGTCGGGCATGTCCCTCTGCAGGAGGAGTAGTCAAGAACAGCAAGGAAATAGTCAGGGGGCGATTTTTTTGATTCTGTGTTGGCATGTCGGGGTATTTTTGGACTGCTGTTTTTTTGTTGTTGTCCAAAGTCCCCCTGCAGGAGGACACGCCCGACTGAAATGTACGCGGTCCGCGCACGAGTTCGACCTTTCGCTGCCTCGATACGCCCGTTTTGATACGCGACACGTGCCGTGCTCAAAACGTCCGTGTCGATACGTTGCGTGTTGGCTCAACGTGCTTGCCCACGTTTTGGCGAAAGCATCGCGTCACACCTGCGTTTCCAGTCTACTTGTCGAGCTCCGTGTCAACACGCTACGTGTTGCGTGTTGCGTATCGGGGCAGCTAAGGTTCGACCACGTGGATTGCGCCAGGTTCCCCGCATGTTGGGGCACGGCCGAACTTCGGCGTCACCCTAACAGACTAACACTAGTTACATGTGCGTCGCCCCCCAAGGGGCGCACCGAGAAATCATGTAGTGTATGCGTCGTGGCGGGCGCTTTCTGGCCAAACCGCTCGGGAAAGGATAGACTACAAGATGAGTATACTACATGTTCGGGTCGGACGCGCGCCTCCCAGGAGGACATGTAGTACTAGTATGTCTTTGTGCGTCCCAGAACTCGCTTTGCCGAGAAAAATCAAACAGCCTAACATCAAAAACTGTCCGAGGGCCAGGCTGATTTGTTTGATCGGCGCTGGGCCCCCCTCCCTGGCGCGCGGAGCCCAGTGCAGGTGCAGGAAATCCGCGCGGACCTCCGGCAGTGTATGTTTATGCAGCTGTTTGTTCCTCTGAGCATTGAGGCTCCAGCGGCGCGCACCGACGGCTTTGGGCCCCCACGCTGCGCTCTCAGATTCAGGATCTCCGGCGCCGTGATCTTTGTTTCACAACGCGTGTCGCAGGATATCCGAGCTATCTCAGACCCAGCCTCGGGGGTGGCCAGGAGGGAGGTGATGACTACCGGTGGCGTGCGGTGGAAACGACCAGATGTGAGATGATGTGGATGCGTTGCATTTGTATTGAGTGCGCCCCAGTTCGTCAGCAAAATCACTAGTTCACCTAACTGGCCAGTAAGCTGAATAATACTGCTACTGATTGTTTGATTGCATGCTGACACGCGCACACAAAAACGAGCGCGCTTGCTTTTGGCGTCGCGGTCACACGCGCAGCGGCGCGGCGAAGTTAAGGTCGGACGGAGCGAAAAGCGCGCGGGCCGGCCCGGATCACGTGGCGAGAACTTGCAAGGGCCTACGTTGAAAACGAACAGATGTCAGGAGAGCGATGCAAGAAAACGGGTCCAGCTGTGCCGACATTCGTGCGTAAGTTGCCCGCGTAAGCTCGTGCGTGAGCGCCCTGGTCTCCAAGCGTAGCATGCCGCGCTGGCGGCCCGCGTAAGCCGCCGCGTAAGGTCGCCGTGTCACGTCGCGTAAGGCCCGTTTTTGATCGTCGCTGAGGTGTGGGTGCCGAGGCGATGTGCGCGCGATTGCCGTGCGGCGTTCCTGCCGACGCGCGGCCTCGAGTTGGCAGAGGGCGTGCGATGGCTGTGCAGCGGCTGCTGCAGGGAAGGCGCAGCGCGCACGCCCTCCGCGCCCCCGAAGGGAGGGCAGCGAGATCAGAACGTATCCACGACGGCGACGACGACCACGACGATGGACTCGCGGCCCGTGGACCGAGCCGCTGACGACCAGCACTGCATCTCGAAGGGTTCGAGCAGGGAGTCGAGTGCAGAATGGATGTGCCCCAGAACCGATTTCCTCGTCGAGTCTGCAAACAGGTGCACAGGATGCTCGTAGATCTACGGGCATTCTACATTTTGTTTTTTTCACGGATTCGACGAACCATACATCATTCTGGGATAGAGCAATTCTGTAGTCCATCCCGTACTCGAAGGGTGGAGAGGGGGTAAGGCAACGTGTGACTAAAACGTGGTGCGGGCGGCTGTGGGCGGCTGCTGCAGAGTACAAGTTCACGCTCGGGGGTGCGTGCGACTGCTGTGAAGCGAGTGGTGCAACGTGCGGGCATGATTCCGAATCGAGTTGAGGTGCGCGCCAAGGCCGTTTTTTGTTGTTTTACGCACGCGCGGGTAGGGGGCGGATCTCATGGCGGGGCCCATGATATCCTTCCAGATTACCTTGCCCCCTTCTCTTCTTTCATTACGTCCCCCAGGACGCCCTCGAGACTCGAGACTCCATTCTCGGGGCCATCATTGCGCCTCGAGCAGTTTTTGACTGGGGCCCGGTGAGATTTTCGAACTTCAGCGTCGGGTTGCCCGTCATTCGCACCCCCTGCCAGCGTCGATCCTGTGAGAAAGCCAGCCCTGGGCCCCCATCCCAGGGAAGGGATCCAGACCTCTGAAGGAGCGCGTTCCGTGGACGCTGTGAGGGCGGGGCAGGGGCTGGGGGTTCGAACCGGCGGGTGGGCTAGCCGCCCCCCCTCCCCCCCCGAGTCAGTCCCAAGAGGGGGGGGCGGGGTCGAACCGTGGGGGGGGCGGCCCCCGCCCCCCCCGAGGGCGGGGGGGTTCTCTAGCCGCCCCCCCGTGAACTGCAGGGGGGGGGGGAGGGTTCACGGTCGGTCCTCCTCCTCCTCGATCCTCCTCCTCCTCCTCCTCTTCTTCTTCCTCGTCCTCTTCCCCCTCCTCCTCCTCCTCCTCCTCCTCCTCCTCCACCACCTCCTCCTCTTCCCCCATCCTCCTCCTCCTCCTCCTCCTCCACCTCCTCCTCCTTCTCCTCGTCCTCCTCCCTCCTCCTCCTGCTTCTCCTGCTTCTCCTCCTCCTCCTCCTCCTGGGCCGGCCGCGACCCCGTGGATGCGGGGCGCCTTTGCGCGGAGCGTGTCCGTGCGACCGCGTGCGCACGGGATCGCACCCCAGAATCCAGGCGAGAAGGAGGTTGGGGCGTGCGGGGTGGTGGGGGGAAGGACCGGTTGCTGGCAAGCGCGACGGGCGGTCCACTGCACCTGGATCGCCCTGGCGACGGCGGGGTCGTTCCTCTCTCGCGCCCGCGCAGCGTCGCCTCGCCCGCCCGCACGGCACGAGCACGAAGCTGAGACCGAGTTCCCGTTGGAAGGCTCTCCGTTCCACGGCGGCCTCGTCTCCCGACCTCCGACCGCGCGGGCGTGGCTGTGGACGTGTTCGCCGCTCGTGGCCTCCTGCTGCCCTTGGCCCGGCGCGCTCTGCCCTGGGGGGAGGGTTAAGTCGGGCGTGCCCCTCTACAGGAGGAATGTTCAAACATAGTCAAACATTGGCCGGGGACGATGTTTCGATTTTTTTGTAGCATTTCTTGGGTGTTCGAAATTTTCGCCCCAAATCCGCCCGCAGGAGGACATGCACGACCTAGGGGAAGGGCTGCCCCGTGACTTCGTGTCGCGCGCGGCCCTGTCGCCCTCGATCGCGTCGTGTGCTCGAGCCGATTTTCAGCCGCACCTCCGGTCTGCAGAGCGCGCCACCCTTCCCGGGAGGGCCGCCGGAGGGGAAGAGGCAGGGTGGAGGAGGAGGGAGTCGTGGACGGAGGGAGTGAGGCGTGGAGGCGTGGAGGGAGGTGGGGAGTGTGGAGCAGGGGCGAGGGAGGAAGAGGTGGAGGAGGAGGAGGAGGAGGAGGAGGAAGGAGGAGGAGGAAGAGAAGGAGGAGGAGGAAGGAGAGGAGAGGAGGAGGAGGAGGAGGAGGAGGAGGAGGAGGAGGAAGAGGAGGAGGAGGAGGAGGACGAAGAGGAGGAGGAGGCAGAGGAGAAGGAGGAGGAGGAGGACCAGTGTAAACCCAAGAATCATCAACGATGTTGGGGTACACCCACCCTCAAGCTCCCTCATCATATGCCCCTAGAACGGTTCATTTCCACTGATGGAACTGCCTCGTTGGAAGGCACACGTTTGAAGACCCTGAAGCATGCCAAAACATTGTTATCGGGATTCCAACGCCACTGATCAACCTAATTGTTGCGTCTTGACGATCTTGAATCGTGCCAAAAAGCCATTCCTTAGGACTTCAACGCAGATAATCAACGTAACTGTTGCGCCCGCATAAATTTGGAACCCTTCCAAAACACTATATCTAGTACGTAGATGGTGGGACTCCGTGGAACTCTTGCAAATTTTTAGAGCGAATGTGCGCGGCGCTAAGGCTAGATCCACAATTTGAGAAGGAGCCGCCCTCAATCCGTGAAACCCTTGCAACTTTGAAAACGAATGTGCGCCGCGCTAAGGCGAGAGCCACATTTTGAAAACCACTCGCCCTCAATCCGTGAAGCTCTTGCAAATATTGAAAAAGACTGCGCGCAGCGACAAGGCGAGAGCCACATTTTGAAAACACTACGGCCCTTGCACATATTGAAAACGAATGTGCACCGCTCTAAGGCGAGAGCCACATTTTGAAAACCATTTGCCGCCACATTTTGAACACCACTCACCCTCAATCCGTGAAGCCCTTGCAAATATTTAAAACGAGTGTGCGCCGCGCTAAGGAGAGAGCCACATTTTGAAAACCACCCACCCTCCGTCTGTGAAGCTGTTGCCATTGTTTAAACTTACGAGCCATAGGTGGTGAGGACGTCTCAGGCGAAACGCCAGGCCCGCCCTAAAAACTAGCTTTCGGGGTGCGACAGGGAGAAGTTACTTGTAAGGAACAGTGATGGAGGAGGGAGGAGGGAGGAGGGAGGAGGGAGGAGGGAGGAGGAGGAGGAGGAGGAGAGGAGGAGGAGGAGGAGGAGGAGGAGCAGGCTCTGCTCGTCGTCCCGCTCTCCCTGACGGGGCGGGGGGGAGGGGTGGAAGACGGGCAGGGCTTCGGCTCCGCGTCCAAGAGGAGGAGGAGGGAGGAGGAGGAGGAGAGGAGGAGGAGGAGGAGGAGAGGAGGGAGCAGGAGGGGGAGGAGGGGAGGGGGGAGGGGGAGGAGGAGGAGGAGGAGGAGGAGGAGGAGGAGGAGGAGGAGGAGGAGGAGGGCGTCCGCCATCCTGGCGAGGGGGGCGCGCGGATTTCGCGATGTGCATGGCATCATGCAACCCTGGCCGCAACCCGACGGATCCGGGGCAGGACACGTGGACCTGCAAGGAGCACCAGGCGGTGCCAAGGGGAGGTGCCTCACGATGGGTGTCGCAGCCTCCTGTCGAGGAGGAGTTCGCGGTGGGCCTCTGGGGACCCTCCCCCACGCGCTGCCCCCCAGGGCCACCCAGAACGGCCGAAAACGTACAGTGGAGGCCCATGCCAAGAAACACTCTGCTTGCCTCCAGAGCGCCTTGGGTTTCGATGGTTTTGCGATGGAAAGCGTGACGCCCCCATACCAAAAATCTCTGGACGTCCCGGGGTCTCAGGGATGGGTTTCTTGTGGAAGGTTTCTTGTGGACTGGCCTCCGCTGTAGAGCGTGTTTGTTTATTGCTTGGGGCATAATGGGCATTATAGCCCTCGGCTCCCCCTCCCCCCCTCCCCCCCTATAACGTAACGCCTCTCCTCCCCCAGTGCGCTTCGGGCACTGCCGCCGTGCGCACGGCGGGAGGCGTTACATTGTACCCCCCCCCTTGGCCCCTCCCCCCCCTCCCCTACAATGCCCCTTCTCGCCGAAAAGAAAGAGACGCGCTCGTACAGAAACCTGGTCGGTCCTCGGCCCTCGGCCCCCGATCCTCAGGAGGAGCCGCCGACCCTCCTCCTCGGGAGGCCGGGTGTGCACGGCGCCACGACGCGGCTGGCCCGGGCGAGGGCCGAGCGCACAGCGTGTGGCCGCGCGTCTTTACGGCGACGGGAGCCCTCTCGTTGTGCCCAGAGCTGCCCAGAGCCCGGGCCGTCCGCGCGCATATCCAGGTTGTGGCTCGGCTGCACGTTCCCAGGATCCCCTCGCGTTTCGGCGGCGGCCAAGAGGGGGGTGATGACCAGAGGGGGGGGATATCATGGCGTGGGCCATATATTTCCCCAGACTTCATGGCGCCTCTTCTTATTGCATTACGCTCCCTGACCCACCGCTGGGCCGCGCACATGCCTCGGGCCATGATTTGCACCCCCCCTATTGGACGCCCCCCTCTTGGCCGCTTCCGAGCGTTGTGAACAAAATCACGGTGGGAGGTTGTTTTCTATTTTCGGCCTTTGGGGGCCCTTCCTGGGCCGCGGGACGGTCAAAAAACGACTCGGGATGAAAGACCTGTCCCGGGGAAGGGGTCCAGACCTTTGGGGGTTCGGCGCCGTGAAAAAAACATGACGTCGGGGGTCTGGGTTAGATTGACCTTTCGCCGGAGTGCCCTTTGGTGCGGACGCATTGGGGTCCCCCGATGGCTGAATCCGATGCGACAGCAGCGGCTTCCGCGCTCGTGTTTGGCACCCCCGCGCCCCCCGAAAGTCGCGCATCAGAGGCCACTCTTGCCCAGGGTCACTCCTCTTGCGTGTAGCCGAGGATCGAGGAGCAGGTTCTTGAGGGGGATCGAGGATCGAGGATCGAGGAGTAGGTACGAAGATCACGGATCCAGTTGCGAAGGAGTGGCCTCCGCACGCTCCTCTCGCGAGTGAAGCCGCGCGCGTGCTGCCAGCCTCCGTGCTCACGGGAAGTTCGAGGATGGGAACCGGAGGGCTGGGCTTAAGTCGGGCATGTCCCTCTACAGGAGGAAGATTCAAGAATAGTGCAACAATAGTATGGGGACGATTTCAGGAGTATTTTTTTGTTTGTTTGGGTATGTTTTGGGGGGCAATTTTCATTGTTCGGCCAAAAGTCCGCCTGTTAGGGGGACATGCCCGACCTGAGGCTGGGCCCCCCCGGCGGAGGGACAGGCGAGGCCCGCTGGGCGGAGAGGCCGCGCTGCCCACGCTCGCCCCCTCGCCCTCTCGGGGGATGCCACGCCTCCTCGGCGTCAACCCCCGCATGCAGTCGGGCCGAGGCACGAGGTCGAGGTCGGTTCGGGGAGGGCTACGGCAGGTTCGCGTTGAGTCGGGCGGCTCCCGTCGTGTCGACCAGCGGCGACCCCGCCGGCGGCGTTCAGCGTTGAACGCCGGCGGCGACCCAGAATCGGTCGACTTGGAACGATCGGACGTTGCGGGAGCGGCCGATCGTTCAAGGTTGAACGAGCCACGCGGTGTCAGAAACCAGCGCTGGGGTCGTCACGACGTGAACCTGCCGTACACTAGTGTTCTTCGTGCTTGTCGGATGCTCTGGTGCACCCTGGGGGGGAGTACCTCGAATGGTTCCTCAGTTTGGGCCGGAAGGCTGTTCCTCTCTCCGAGGTCCGGTTGTACTAATACCATGTGTGCGTCGCCACCCCAGGGGGGGGCGACGCGCGCACCGAGAAGTCTCATAGTCATTGCGTCGTGGCGGGCGCTTCCTGGCCACACCGCTCCGACAACGATATACTACAATATGGGTTAACTATCTGTTCGGGTCGGACGCGCGCCTCCAAGGAGGACATATAGTACTAGTGCATTATGTCTTTGTGCGTCCCATCTCAGGGCACCATTTATGAAGTGCCGACTGGACATGGAGGTTCTGGAGTCAGACTGAGGGGGGCCCTTGGCCCTCCCCCTCTCCCCAAGGATTGTCGTCGTCGGTCGTCGACTCTTCGGTCGCCGACATCGTCGTCGTCGTCGTCGTCGTGCCCCCCCCCGTCGGCGCTGCCCGAGGAGCTCGGCAAGCGGACCCCCGGCAAGGTGCCGACATGCTCCGACGTCTGGAGCAATTGCGCCGAGTCTAAGTGCTGCCAGGACGCGGAGCCCGCGGCCACGCCAGAGGTTCCTCTTCCGCCTCGTCGCGCTCTCGACGCCTCCCTCCCCGCCCTTCTCCTCACCCCCTTGTTTTCCTCCGTCTCCTCCCTCTCCCCTCCTCCTTCTCCTCCTCTTCCCTACCCCTCCTTCCCTCTTTTCATCCCTCCCCTTCTCCTCCTCGGTGTCCAGCTTCTCCATTTCCTCCTCCTCTTCCCACCTCCCACCTCTACTTCGTTCCCCCACTCCTGGGTCCTTTGTGCGTCCTTCGCGTCTGACTCACTGCTCCTACTCCCCCTCCTCCTCCTCCTCCTCCCTCCCCTTTCTTCCCTGTCCCCCTCCCACTCCTTCTCCTCATCGGTCTCCTGCTTCTCCAATTCCTCCAACTCTTCATCATCCTTCTTCTCCTTCTCCTTCGCCCCCCTCCTCCTCCTCCTCCTCCTCCTCCTCCTCCTCCCCCTCCTCCTCTCACCTTCCGTTGCCATTTTGGCTCAAGGTGGGGACAGGCCCCATTTGAGTGAGGCAGCCTCTCTTCCGAGGCCATCCTGGAGTCAAGTCCAGGCGGACACTTCCCCCGCTGGCGGGCTCGTCCCCGAGCCGTCGGCAATTTCTCTCCGCTCGCCGCCATGCCTGAAGTCGGCGAGGGTATCGCACAGATTCTCGAGCAGCTTGGAGGGATCACAGGACGCTTGACCAGCATTGAGTCCGCGCTCCCTGGCGTCCACGAACTTCGCGTCTCGCTGTCCGTCCAGGAGACCGCCATGCAAGGCATCAACAGGCGCATCGGCGTGCTCGAGGCGAACATGCGTGCATCGTCCGAGGCAGGGGCTCTCGCTGCCCTTCGTGCCGATTGGGAGAGCCGCATCGCTGCTATTGAGGCATCATCGTCACAGAGTTCAGCAGGTGATTCTTCGCTGGGGCCACCCGCTTCGCGTCGGAGGTTGTCTGCGCCACCGAGTCATGACAACTCACGCGTGGGAGATGAGCACATTCCGTGCCAGGTGTGGATCGGTTGCTTCACGCGACCGATGCTGGCGACCACTATGGAGGCTCACGGACGAACGCTACTTGCTCTACTTCCTTCACATATCCGTCAGGCAGGGGTGAGCATCAAAGCCCACAACCTCGCCAAGAGCTACTCGATCACTTTCAACAGCTCTCTCGGCGCCTCCTCGTTCGTTGACCACGGCAGGGCCCATGGCATCCTGTGGCAGGACAGCGCTTCTGGCACCAACGTCCCCCTCCGCTGCAGGAAGGATGCGCCGAGCTCGGTGAGGCAGAAGCACCAAGTCCTTGGAACGATATGGCAGGCAGTCAGTCAACACCCACCTTCGGCAGGCAGGCACATGGAACGAGCAGCGGTTCAAGCTGGGAGTCAACGGCTTCAGGGGCATCCTCTTCATTGCTGTCGGTGAGGTCGTCCATGAGCTCTTCCCAGTCAAGGAAAGTGACTATGGCCAGTACGAGATCATCCACTCCGCCGACGGCATCGCCCAGTTCAACATCTCGCCCGAGCAGGCGAGCCCCATCATTGCGACAGCGCGTTCAAGCTAGGGGTCTCCCACGCCGTATCGATCTGGGACAACGTATTCGTCAGGGGCGCCTGGTATGCGGGTTCCATACCAGCCATGCACTTCAACTCCTGTGTCGAGCTCTTCCTCTTCCGCGTCTTCTGTCTCTTCCTCCTCGTCTGGGTCTTCCGCGTCGTCTGGGACTTCGAGGTTCCCGTCTTCGGCTGGGCCTGAGTCCTCCCGCCTTATTCTTGGATCCTGGACACACTCACCATACATAGTCAAGACACATATCAGTTTTGTTTCCTGGAACGCTCGCTCGCTCTTCGGGGGGCTCGCTACATGTCTGGATACCATCAGAAGAAAAATCACGCCTAGTAACCTACATCCAGAAGTACCATGTCGTGTGCATCCAGGAGGCCAGGGGCTCTTTTCTTGATCTTCAGAGAGTCTGCTCAGAAGTTTACGACTCATGGGGAATAGGGTCTTTCTTCGAAGACAGGGCTGCTGGAGGAGCATTTGTTTCTGCATCCGTCGCCCCGCGACGATTTCAAGTTCTGCAGGTACGGTGAATTAGTCAAGTGTCGCATCCAATCTCTTATTCTTGCTGGTCTCAGAGGTACTCTCCAACTCTCTAACATCCATCTTGATCCTGCTCTCCCTCTCAGTGAACAGAAATGTCAGCTCATGGTTCTCCGTCGTTCTCTCCTTCCCGCTCAGGCTGCTGCGAGTTTTGTGCTCGGGGGCTTCAATTTCCCCAGTCAAGGCGAAGGCTCGTTTCACGTCAGTGGTGTTGCCAACTATTCCAGCAATGATGCTGCTGTTTTCTTCTCCCAGCACTTCGGTGACTTGTGTGAAGTCGAACAGGCGTCTTTCACGCATAGGGTCACTCAGGAGGTCGAGGGAGTTCAGAAGATCGTGATCATGAGCCGTATCGACAGAATATACACAAACATATTCAGCGCTGCTCTCCTCGAGCTCCACCCCAAGTCTCTCGCCCTCGTCCCGATCTCGAAAGCAGGTCGGCTTTCTGATCGCGCACCGGCGTGTCTCACCTTTTCCCCGGGTGGCAAGATGGGCTTCAGAGTTCTTGCGTGGGTCCCCAATCACGTGCACTTCCCGATCTGTCTTCAGGAACTGCTCGACGCCGTTGGCCCGCTCGACATCGATCCCACCATGCGCCGCGCTCAGATGAAGGATATCTTAGTTCAGGCAAGTAAGAATGTCCTCCAGCATAGCATCGAGCAGGCCAACAAATCCGTCGAGGAAAAGATAGCGTGATCTCTCTCAGTTCTGCGAGGCACTCTTCGTAGTCTTTTGGTGGCTGGTCGGCAAGGCCCTGCGAGCGTACCCGCTGCTCGCCAAGTTTCTCTGCCCGCAGTCTGGCCTTTGTATAGATATGCGAGCGATTCACTCCCACTTGACTGATCTCAAGAATGAGCATATCCAGCAGCAGCTGAGCGAGGTTGAGCAGCAGCCTATATCCGATCAGCGCAAGCAAGAAGCCAAGATAAAACTTTACAGATATCAGTCTGCGTGGGGGAGGAAGCACCGCAGGATTGCTCTTACTGGCGTGTCCGACCCGACTGGCAAGGCCATCGCCGAGCCAGATCAGGTGGCAATGCGCCTTGCCTCCCACTGGGGCAAGGTTCATCAAGGTATTCCAGGCTCCGTCGAGGACCGACAACAGTTGCGAGAGTTTGTTCAGACCTGCCCCCCCCCCCCCCTCCCCCCGACATTTTCCGCAAGCTGGGGCGTCTGGAATTTGAGGAGTTGATTTCTCGGACTGGGGATTCGCGTCCTGGGCCCGACGGTATTCCCTATGCTTGCTACGCAAAAGGTGGCGCGGCAGTTGTTGACTCCTTGTGCGCTCTTTACTCCGTCCCGCTCGAGCAGGGCTACCTCCCGCCGAAGTTTGATCGGGGCATGGCCGTTTCCCTTGCCAAGGGTAGCGACCCAGATGACACCTCCTCCCAGATCAGCCGTAAGCCTGAAACTACTCGACCTAGTACCCTCTCCAACTCCGACAACAAGTTCATCTCCCTCGCCATCAACAGACCACTATCTCAGATTGCCTCCCAAACTGTTCTCGCTAACCAGCGGGGGTTTAATCCTGGGGGATTCATGGGTGAAAGCATCATCGACCTTGAGAGTCGAGCCGTAACGTGGTATGCGAAGGTGGGACACGCGCATGCTGGTATGCTATACTGTGACGTGCGGCCCGCGTTCCCCAGCCTCTTGCATGATATGATCTTCTGGGTCTTAGCCTGTATGGGGCTCCCGTCTAACATCCTAAGGTGTATCCAGGCCCTCTACACCGACGTTACCATTGAAATCAATGTCTGTGGGCCCCATGGGCATTCTTTTCTGGATTCTCGTGGAATCAAACAGGGCTGACCGCATTCAGGAACCATCGATCCGATTTTACGCTACATGCTTAAGAGGATTCCTAGTGGCTTGTCTTGGCTTACCGCATTCGCAGACGGCGTCGGCGTCGCTGCCGCGAACATCTTCAAGACCATTAATGCTCTGATTCCGTGCTGGCAACTCGCTGGCGCAGCTGCTGGTCTGCATATCCATCTCTCTAAGACGATTCTCGCGACCCTCGGCAGCCGCAGCGTCGCCGAATGCCAGAAGCTCATGCGCGAGATAGGAGCTTGTCCAGACAACCCCAACTTCGAGCGTCTTGGGAAGTACTTGGGGATATTATTTGGGAGCGGCGGGCGGGATCTCTCTTGGCTGGCCCCCTTCCAGTAAATGCATTTTTCGAGCGCAGGATGTTAAAAGTCTCGGTCTCGGTCTTTGCAAGTCCATCGTGTGCTTCAGCCTGCTCTCCTTCTCGGTCCTCTCGCATGCGATGCAGTTCCACCCGCCTCCGAAGACAGCGTTCACGGCCGTAAGAAAAACCCGGCAGGGTTTGACGAACGCCCCGAACAATAGCCTGTCCCAGGGCATCCTCCAGAATCTCGAAGCGTGGGGCCTCCCGATGCAGGCCAGAGCTCTGGCGCC